TCTGATGGTGTGGTCCATGGTTGGAATGAGCATTGCTGTCATCGCTGGCTGTCTTCCAACCATATGGCCGCTTGTCAACCGTATATCACTTGAGGGCATGACGCAGACACTACGCAGCGCCCTGTCTCTCTCGAGCCTTCGGGGGTCAACTGAGTCAAGCGAGAGTAATACAAACCTGCCTGCTTATAACGACAAGGATAGCATCTCAGTAACGAACAGTTAACCGCATTGATTCTCGCGCTGCGCACTTTGAAGAGGTTTCCATGTATTCTAGGCTAGTATGTACTGGACGGAATATTTGAGGTATAATTAGTGAGGGCCCTAATCTGCAACCCGAAGAGCTTTCTGCTAGATGAAGCAACTTCTGCTCTAGACACCGAGTCCGAAGCGCATCTCCAGGAAGCACTTGATGCAGCATCAAAAGGTAGAACCACGATTGCTGTTGCCCACCGGCTCAGTACTATCGCTAAGGCGGATCGGATATATGTTCTTGACTGTGGAAGAATTAGAGAATCAGGTACTCACGACCAACTAGTTAAGGGAAAAGGGTATGCAGTGGGAAATCCTATATAAAAGCATCTGCATTCGACCCATCGAGGTTTTGGAGATATTGATCTAGCAAAGCCTGTGTAGCCGTTGTTAGAACCCCCAAGGCACCGTAGGTCGTGAAAAGGTGAAGGGCTTACCCAATCTAAGTCTTCAGGCCCATCGATCATCTGCGACATGGCACCGGCGTATTCAAAATCCGGCACAAGATCGGCCGTCTGCTCTTCATGCTGTGGCATGGTGACGTCGACGGGCAACGGGGTCACGTTGTGCTCTTCGACTTTCTGGATCATCAGTTTGAGAGCGCGCGAGGCGATGGGGGCCTCCGCAGTGCTCGTGTCCATGGAGGCCCAAATCTCCTGCGACGTGCGCAAAGCACGATATTCTCGCCCCTGTAGATCGTGCCTGTCGACGATCTCGGCTGTTGTCCCCCGGGACCGCATGCAGACAGATAAATCGAGACAAACCACCATGGCCGCGAGCAGGACGCCATAAGCAGGGAGCTTGTAGACCAGCCACCGTTCTTCGTATAATCGGCCACCTGTTTCGCATGCGCTATGGATGTCTGCTTGGCGGGCCAACATATCGAGTGCCGCCTCGATGCAGGCGTATCGAGAGAACTCGAATCTTTGGCTGCGTGGATCGCAGCTGATATATCTCCGATGGAGGATAATTAGTCCCTGCTGGAACAGGGTTTCTATCGAGTATCGTTCGATGATGATCGTATAGGAGTCGATAAAGGACCGATTCACGTCCCGACGTTTCAACGCTTCAGGTAGTCCGTTGTATCCCTCATGTAGTTCATGGTGCAAAGCTACTGTCCGATTGAAGGCGTCGGAGATGGGCACTGCTAGAGACTGGGTGTGGGCCGCTATCTTCTTGAACACGCTCATCACGGCGTCCTTAGCGATAGAGTAACGGATAGGGGTCTTCTCAGACAGAGACCTTCCTAAGGGCAATGACGTCATGTCAACTTGGAGCCTGCAAAGATGAGCTCAGTATTGTAGCTTTAAAATTCCCCGTGATAACCCAGAACTTTGAGCACCAAAAATGAGGCAAATTAAATCCCTGTCACTGCCACTTACTCTGAATATTCCAAATTTCGCGGAAGCTTCGTGTCGCAAAAGTCAGTGGGAATCATGCTTGGAAACCCCAACTGAGAAGATATGAGTGCCTCAATGTGGACAATATGGATCCAGAGTCTTCGCCGCATCTCGCCGTCGAACACAGATATACGTGGTAGGTGGTCTGGATCGCGATGGTATCCCATACGAAAGGAGAGCCTGATAATAGTTCCCATCTCAAACCAGAGATTGGTACTAGAGTTACCCTTTGTGATAAGGTAACTGACAAGATGCAGGAGGAACGCCTCCAATGCATGCTCATTGGCGGTGGCATAACGCCCCAGCACTAGACACTGCACTGTTCTCTGCTGTAAAATGTGCGCAGGAGGTATCAAGTCATCCGAAGCTACTCCATGGTAGATTGGGCGTACACCTGCCATAATACTTAAGATGGAGAATAGAAGGGCAGTCCAGAGAGGCGACGTCATCATTGGTGCCGCCCAGAAGGCTTCATACTATATTTCAGAAATGTTATTAGAGGCAAATCCCATCAAATTCTGAATTAAAACGATATACCTGCAACTGGAATTTCTCGGGATGAATTATGCCTGCGCAATGCGTCAACCTAGTGTTCTTGACGACGCCTCATACGGTGTCGAAAACCCCTTACCTGACACTAGCATTGAGATACTGAAATACCAAGATAGTAATTTGTCGCATATTGGCTGTGCTGGTAATGAAGTCAGGACTTCAGCGTATGTCGCATTGGGCACAGAACCGAAGAGAAAGGAGGCGTCTGCCGGGGTGCGCTCGGGTGGCGCACTCTCCTCTATGAATCCATTCGAAGAAGATAGGTGCTCCCGGACTTCATGTATATCTTCCAGGATTGACTGCCAATGGCTTGGGTCTATGTAGTTCACTTGACCGTCGCCAGTCTGTTGTAGATGAGGAGTCTCTGGGGTAAGCAAAGGGTCCCTTGTCGTGTCGCTTTTCGGAGTCGAAGCGGATGCTTGGATAGGCTCAGGCTCTGTGCAGTGCTCAGTCTGGGGGGCAACAGTCCCTTCACTTCCTCGAGGTCCTGGTCGAATAACGCTATTACCTGATGCAAATGAAGAGACCAGCTCCTCCAGAGTATTAAGCCTGTCCCTTATTTCACGCTGTTTAGAAGCTCCGGGAGTACTCCGGTTGGCATTCGCCGCGTAGTGGCATTGCGCCGCCCTGTGCCTGTTGATGCAGGTTTCACATGGTAGCCCACGATTACACTTCAGCCTATCACAGCATCCTTGTTAGTTTTCTTCATTGAACGACAGCGCGTTCGCTAGTGATTATTGGGATGTACGGACTTGCGAGCTCGGCATGGCTCGCATGAGACAGGCGGCCGGTTTCTTTTTTCAACTCGTCTGTGGCTCAGATCCATGTCTGGGTAGGCGCGCTATATCCTAGGGAAAGTTGCCGATATCCAATGTGAACATTCCTACGCCCTTGCTTGCGGCGAGCTTTGTAAGGGATATATCTCGTCGTCGGTTCATGCGCCTAGTCAGCTCTGACTTGCGCCGTTCGAGTTATCCCCGCCCTCTGAATTTGCGGAGATATTAAACCCGGTCGAGCAAATCTAACCAATTCTATCCAAGTATTTCCATATTTGGCACCAACCCCTGTTCATCTATTTAAAGTACCCCATTCATTAACAGTACTGATCGCCAGCCTACCCTGTCTAGCAAAGTTGTAATCTCGCCATTAAGTGAGCAAGTGTTGTACCAAGAGGCGGCGATAATACGACCGTCGACAAGTTACGACTTACCTTGGTGAGAACATGGTATATATTGGGATTCGTATCACTGCCAATGTTGAATCACATCGAAAACCTCAATCAACTTGCCCAGTTATTCATTTTCTATCTCCAGACTCTTTTAGCTACATCTAAACAACACCATGCCCGCTCCTGCTGGACTTCGGGTCCTTGGCTCCGTCGCTTACGGCAAATTCTGTGTTACACTCCCTATACCTTCGGAAACGCCCGAGCTACCCCATTCTATCGTCATCGTCACCGGTGCGAATGGGGGCCTCGGGTTCGAAGCCAGCAAGCACTTGTCACGCCTCGGAGTTGGCAAGCTGATCATGGCCGTTCGAAACGCTGATAAGGGCGAGGAAGCCAAAATGAGAATTCTTGCATCGACTGAACGTCCAGAGTCGTCCATTGAGGTTTGGGATCTTGATATGGATAGCAATGCCTCCATCGAGGCCTTTGCGAATCGCGTTGCCGACCTGCCACGTCTCGATGGCGTCCTAGCCAATGCGGGCATTATGACTACGAAGTTCAATTTGAGTGAGGGGAATGAAAGGAGTTTCAATATCAACGTCGTTGGCACATTCTTTTTGCTTCTTCTACTTCTCCCCAAGATGCGGGAATCAGGAAAGAACACTGGCAGCCCTTGTCGTTTTTCAATACCCAATAGCGCCCTGCATTACGTGGCGCCGCTGAGCGAGCTACAACCCGGTGACCGCAGTATCATAGATCGCCTCAATGATCCCAAAACGTCAGACATGCAAGGGAGATACAATCTCACCAAGTTGCTCGTCGTCTATCTGGTCCGCGAGTTCGCCGGAAGATGCCAGTCTTCGACAAAGGGAACATGCATCATTAATACGCCCAACCCGAGCTTCTGCAAATCGAACCTTGCTCAGGACGAACGCGCAGCTGGATACAAAGTATTTGAAGCTACCATGGCTCGCTCGACCGAGGAGGGGAGCCGGGTGCTCGTGAATGGGTTGTTGGCCGGATCGGAAACGAATGGCCATTATCTTACTAACTGCAAGGTTCAAATGTAAGCCATCCTCTGACAGCTCATACTTTAGTTGGCCATATCTAATACATAGCAAGGCCATCAAGCCACGTTACCTCGGACTGGGGTCAAGAAGTACAGGTGCGGTTCTTTAATGAGCTACTGGATAAAGTCGACAAGATCCGACCGGGTATCTCTTCACATATTTGATTTGCATGGCATGCTGTCAGCCTATGTCAACAGATCACTTTTTTGGCCCCAAGGTCTCTGTTGCAACTCACTCTCTAGACGGACTGTGTATTAATTGTCATTATAATATGGAGGCCGATGTCATAAAGAATAAGCTAGAATATAATAGCCACTAGATCTGTCGTTTCTTTCCCGAATAGAAGTAGCTTTTCCGTGCATGAAGCCGCGCCTTCAGCCCAGACGCGCCGCGCCACGCCCCTAGTTGAATGGAGTGTGTTCAGAGAGCCAGCATATCGTATCTCCTTTATGCTATCGGAGTATTCCTCTTGTACTCGGTCCTTTTCTTCGGTTCCTTTTATTATGTGAGTCTGCCATGTACTCTGTAGTATAGGACGAAAAGATCAGGCAGTTTATCATGTCTCGATTGGTCTAGTGGTAAGGATACCTGCTTGTCACTGGTGTTGTGTCTAGTGTTCTCACTAGTTCGCCACAATCAAATCGCAGGTGGCCGGGGTTCGATTCCCCGATCGAGAGCATTTATCCAATCCGGTATAGTGTAACGGCTAACATATCGCGTTTTCACCGCGGGGCTCGGGGTTCGATTCCCCGTACCGGAGGACATTCACATTTTTGGCTCAACCGCCAACTTTGAACTTTGGGACCAGCAGAAGGATGGAATAAGACACACCTTCCAACACTCCGAAGTCTGAAGGCTGAACATCTCTGTCGTTGTTGTCGCTGCCCCGAAAGACGCCCAATAACCCAACTTGTATCAAAGGTGATAAATAAAACTCATGGTATCGGCAAGTCTGGGTAGTAGGGGTTGTATGAATAGGAGAGAGTATTTTATACATAGTGAATCATATGATAAGGTCCGTAAATATCTAGTGTAGAAAAGAAAGGCAGAAATCAATCGACCCCGTTACCCTATCCACCCCTCCCCCTTCATCTCCTGTCCAGTCCACTCCTCCAGCCTTTCCGCAAGCTTCTCATCTTTCGCCGCGCTGCTTTGCCACCACGGCTCCCCCCACCGCCGGAATATTTCGAAATATGTGCCACTCTGATCCGCCGTCATCTGCTGACTCGCTGCACAGAATACGCTGGTCCAGGATCCTTTGTCGGCAGGCAGGAAAAATCCGAACTTGCGTAAAAACAAGAATGTGTTCACAATCCCCGAACCCGACTCGCTCGCTGGCGTGGCGATGTTCGTATCCACCGCACCCGGATGCACGGACGAGGTCCAGATCTCGCCCTCCCCGTTCCGCGCACCGGCGGACTCGGGGCCGTACATCTTGTGCAGTGTCTTGGCGTGCAGGATGTTGGCGAGCTTGCTCTGCCCGTACCGCGCCCACGGGCCACTGTCCTTGAGCGATAGGTCCTCGAAATTTATGCCTCCCTTGGGCGCGCCCAAGTGACCCGAGGAGCTGAGGTTGACAATGCGTACGTCTCCGGGAGGAAGCGATTTGGCAGTCCCCAGCATCAGAGGAAGAAGGTGGTGAGTTAAAACCCAGTGCGCAAGGTAGTTGGTCTCCCACTGGGCCTCGTGGCCGTCTTTGGTCATTTCAAATGGCGTCGCCATAATGCCTGCGTTGTTAACCAGACCGTGCAGGGCGGTCTGGAGGGTAAGAAATCGCTTAGCCGCCGCTACGACGCTACCGAGGTCCATGAGGTCCATTTGTAGGAGGTCGATGTTGGCTGAAGGGTGCATTTTCTTGATGTCGGCGATTGCTGCTGTGCCTTTTTCTAGGGATCGGGCACACATGTAAACGTGGGCGCCATGTTCTGCTAGGTAGGCTACAGTATAATATCCTCTGTGGTTTGGCGAGATCAGCGGGTCGGTTCTCGTGGTGGAAGGGTAGAGGAAGGACTTACATTCCAGCGTTTCCCCCTGTGACTATGAAAACTTTCCCCTTGAGATCAGGGAGAGTATCGGGATTGAAAGCCATTGGTCAAAAGGATGCTTGACTGGCGTAATGTTAAAGACAGCAAACTGAATGTGGAGGATTAGGTTATGAGTTTTCGATGATATGAACAAATGCTTTGAGTTTGGGTGTTGCTGCCAGTTTTATATTTCCTATATGACAATATCTGAGGTACCCTTATTTTGGATACTATTTTGAGCATTAGATATCGTGAGCAAGTTGCATAGCTTTTGGACCAATAGGAGAATCCCGAGTGAGGAATTAAGCAAGTGAGCCAGCTGCATGAATCATCCTTGTTCCATGATCATTGATGTGAGCAGGTCGCATGACGCTAGACCTACTCAAGTTGATAGCTGTGATCCCGGTGTCCAATGATAGTATCGTCATTTTGTACCCCTGTCTATCTGCGCCTCAGCTGCGGAGATATCAACGTCTCCGTTCCCGTGGCCAAGTGTCAGACTCGCAACTGTGAGCAGGCTGCATAAAGCGCCGTGGCCGAACCCACAACGGGTCTTCAATCGTTACCACCGATTTCATCATCACCAAAGTTACAACATACCTACTGTAGCATAATGACTAATACGTACCGGCCTGCAAATGGAACAGCACCTCGCATCCAGCTCTCATTAATGCCACAATTAGCCGAGGTCCGTACTAGGCCAGTTTCAGTCACAAGTCATTATGATTTTCTCACTGGGTACAGGCAAAAAGCAAGGAAGATGACTGGACCGGGACCAACGATGCTGCAGCACGCAGACGGGCACAGACAAGGCTCAACACAAGAGCATACCGTAAGTACGGGCCTTTTTCCTCTTCGTATAAGCTGGGAGTCTGGGCCAGCCGAATTCAAGTCGCGCCTAGTCAACCGAAACTGAGAATTGGTAGGAAGACGCAAAGCCCTGCCAAAGAAGGACAAAATATCCGGTTTGGCAACGGGCACACTTATCCAATCGGAGTCACTGGTGGAATGCTGGGATAATGAGCAGCAATCGGTTGCTACTGTCCCAGCATCCCGCCTCAAGAGACTATACAATGCGAGGAGCCCATTGCTATCAGATAAACCTAGAAGAAAGCACTTGAATATTGTCTTCCCCCTCTGCCCCGACCACCTCATCACACTCCTCCAATTTAACGCCCTCCGCGCCCTGATCATAAACCGCACTCTGGTATCCGGCATCCTCACCACACCGCTCGACTGTAATGAGGAGGTTATCCACGTCGTCCCATACCCTACCCAGCCGGAGCTACTCCCTTCGGCACTTCTGCCCACCACCCTTCAACAAACGGTGCCGCATGGCGAGTGGATCGACATGTTCCCGGCCCCCGAGGCACGAGACAACCTGATACTGGCCTCCGGGACTTTTGACGAGGACGACCTATGGGCCGACTGCGTCGGTGGACTGTTCGAGGGCTTTCCCGACGAGGAGATCGAGCGACGCGGCATGATTGCGTGGTCGCCGCCTTGGGACATCACAGGCTGGGAGATGTCAGAAGGGTTTCTCAGGAAATGGGGGTGGTTGTTTCGAGGGTTGCCGGGTGCGTTGGAGGCGACGAATCGGTGGCGGATGAAGAGAGGCGAGGAGCCATTGGTTGATGATGCATACGCGTCACAGGTAGACACTGGAAAGAGTTGATTTATTAACGGTTACTGACTCTTCCGTGGCGTTACAACGGCCAAGATTAGAGTCAGATCATCCTAACATTTTATTCATCCCTATAGGAACATTCCACATATATCGTCTTTATCTACCTAGCTTTCGACACGAGATGAAGTGCAGTCTCCGGTACGAATGTGACTCCTAAGAAATAGTGGCGAATGCCCTATATGCTCCGAAAACGAAGGTGGCACCATTCATACATGACCTTGCAACTAGATGGATAGACAGCCAGCTTATAACATATCGACCAATTTCGCAGCAGCGTCGGTCATATTCGAGCCCCAAGTCTTTGGAGTTGTCTGCAAAGGCATAATTAGTCTCATTCATCAAGGGGGGGAAAGGATGAAAAGGATGAACGAAATGGGTTGAGATATTCGAGACAAAAAGTGCAAGGTAGCTTACCTGGAGATAGAGGACGCCGTCCTCAATGACAGCCTCGTTGTACGAGCCCTTCACGAGCTTATCGACGACCCGGAACACGACCTCCCCCTTCTCGATCACCTCCTGGAAGCCCTCTTGCAGGAGGTCGTCGTCCTCGAACTTCTGCCACTCGAGCTGCGTCACCAGGCCCTCGAAGTACAGCAGGGTCCAGCTGCCGAAGTTCTCCTGCCAGTCGTCCCGCAGCGCCGACTTCTTGGCCCGGCCCTCCTCGAGCAGCTTGGCGAAGTTGGCGTCGAAGTTGGGGTTCAGCGCGATGTCGGGCTTGGCCACGAGCGCGCCGACGCGCGCCCGGACCCCCTCGACCTTGGGGTCGTAGCTCTTCCGGATGCTCGTGCGCGCCACGTAGCTCAGCGGGGTGTCCGCGGGCGCCGGCGCGTCGTTGAGCGCCTTGGCCAGCACGCTGCTGTCCAGGCAGGATGAGATGTTGCAGCCGAGGTTGTCGGGCGCGAAGAGGAGGCGGAGCTGGCCGTCCTTGACGTCGGCCCCGCAGTACGTGAAGCGCTTCTCCTCGTCGACGTCGAGGGTGATGACGTGAGCGTGACAGATGGTGTTGAGCTCGTTCACGCCGTCCTCCCCGTACGTGCCCTCGAAGTCTTCCAGCCGGCTAGTAGCGCCGTAGAAATATCTTGAGCAACATTAACAACTTGTCTCACCAACCATGGTGCTGCTGCGGCATTGAGGACTTACTCATGGAGGCAAGCACCCAGATTCTCTTTTGCATACGCACTCTTGTCTGAGTAGGCAAAGACCTGGTTGGGGTTTACATCCACGGTCCATGCAGTGCCCAAGATTTCGGAAAGTTTGGTCTCGAGGTTTCCTTTCTTAGCATCCCAGTCGTCTCTCACTATGTTCCCGTCAGCCCTTCCATCGCTCGTCTAACCGCAAGGGACGGGGTCAACTAACCGCTCTTGCGAACAGCTAGAGGGAGTTTCTCGACTGGAGGGAGCTTCGACATGGTGAAGACAAGTAGAGGGAAGATCGGTGGTGAGTTCGCGAAATAATATAGGAGTCAATCTGACTGGCGGCAGTTTGATGTGTGTGAAGGTTGCGATGCTTTAGTAGTCTGTAGATGTTACACAGCAGAAGAGTATCAGGTCTAGACCACGGCTTATATACCTACCTATCTTGTGATGTCCCCCTTATCTTAATCTTTCGCACATTTCCTCCGCCCGTTTCTAGTAGGTATTGCATCGTGTTCTCAACCTTGTCCTCAGCTGGTGGTACCTTGCGTTTTCAGCCCTTCCCAATCTGTCCAAGTTTTGAAGCTATCCCCAAACTGCCCTCACCCCTAGCTCTATCTCCAGTCTTACATAGTACCCTGATGTGCGACCTGGGCCTAATGCGGAAAGTAACTCAGGAGCTGTGAGTTTTTGATTGGTTCACATGAGAACGGCTTCATCCTGCCCTCGACAGGCGCCTGGATCCTTCAAGGTTAGCCCCTGTTAGCCCTGTCACGACCTGTAAAGGCGAAAGAAAGCTATAGGCCACAGGCCCATCCCGTCGAATTTTGGAT